CAACTTCGTAGATAAATTACTAGGACTGGTCTAGACTAGGCCTAGAGTGTGTATTGGGCAAATTGGCTATAGTTATACCCGTCGCATGTCAGCTTCTTTATGTTGTGCACTCTGGAATTGAAGACAGACAACCAAAAGCGGACAAGTCCATCTCATGGCAGTTGGCTTTAAAATTCCACCCTGGGTTGTGTTAGGTAGTTTGTGTTAGGTGATCCGAGACCAAATGGATACCTCTGAGAATTGCATAATCTGTGAGCATATGCGGACTAAGTACCGTTTGTACTTCTGGCTTAGTTGCGATTTTTAACAAATTCGGTACGTGCTGACTGCCGAATAGTCAAACACTGCCGGATTCATGGCCTGAAGTAAAGATGTGCTAGTTAGGCCTTAAGTAGGTACTTGTGCATCATTTCAGCCTTTTGCAAATGTGCCCTGCGTTTGATTTATCCCAACTGGCAAGTTATGTTGATTTGTCATCTCGTTTAAAATAATGCTTTTGAACGAAAGTCATTACAGTAGATGTCGCGTCGCATCTCGTTGATGGTCTCTCACATCATCAGAGGTCAAACTATCAGTAGGGCCAGATATCTTATTACACGCCATGTCTAGTCTTTTCCCAACGATAAGCTGAAAATGGTTGAGGTGAACTGATGCTAGAAAGGGTTTGCTTGTTAACCGTGCACATCTTTCATCAGCGTTGAATGTGCTGACATTTAAGTATTCGTGATAGGTAAAAGGTCACTTATATCATCGGCTGCACCAGATTCTCCGGATTCTTGAGCGTCAGAGGCATGACCTGAGGTCAAACCACGAATAGAGGCACCTTAATACTAAACGTGCAATAGTAAACGGTCAAACGCTAATGGAATTAGTTCGGACCCGCTGCCAGAACCTTGTCTGCTCTTAGAGCCAGAATGGATCTGCTTAAATGTCCTAACCACCACGCACATGCGTTGCATAGCGCATACTCGCAGCATGGCCGCGAATGCTGAACTGATACACGGCATTAGAACGCCGACGCTGACCTGGACAGAACGCCGGCCTGGATAGAGTTCCATCTTCTCGGCGACTTGTGGCCGAAACCCTGTAACGATCAGCCCAAGTCATGCGCGAAAACGGTTGACTCACCGCTGGGACTAATAGGTTTGCCCCGTGGGAACGGGCGAGGCTTGTGCTCCGAGACCGACAATGCCAGCTTCATGCCACGAGGCACACGGTTTCACAGCCCCCCCCCCCCCCTCCCCCCACCTTGCCCTGTGTTTTTTATCGACACATGCGGCTAGACCTCATTCGCTCGGGTTGTTGGGTCAGACTGACACACGGTGGTGGAAAGCTTTCCATTTACCACGATTCACTACTGAGATCACGTCGCCGTGGGAATTCCAGAAAACGGCTTTCCGCCATGAAGGGTGTTCTCGTCAGAGCGTTCGCCACACTAAAACGGGGCTTACGAAAGATCTCAGATGAGGCTGCTCCGGCGTTGATGTCCTCCCCATCGGAGGCACAATTTCGGCAGTTTGCGACCCAACGCATGGTCTGTCAGCAGCAGGACGCGCAGGAGTCCCTCAGATACCTGCTGGAGAGTTAACACGGGACGTGTAGCCCGTGTCAACAACCGACTCAAGTCCAAAACTGCTCACATTGATGACAGCATCAGTGTTAACCAGTAACCGCTGAAGGCCCGAAAGGGTTTCCTTTCCTGAAGAACTCCAAGTTCGTTGACCTGTCTGTCGTACAGTGCAGGTCCACGCTACGGCACACGCTGTGTAGCCGCGCGTCCGTGGCGTTTGGTCCGTTCTGGTACCTGAGCCCGTCGACCGCATCCATGGTGGACCAGGTGTGATTGTAAGACTGCTTTGACCTTTTTCTAAGGAATGGGAGCCTGACAGAGAACAAAAGCCGTCGTGTTCCACGTACGAGAAGCGCCAAAAGGCTCCAAGAACTTCCTGATTGAGAGGCTCCCATGCATCATTGTAATGCACCTGAAACAGCTCTTCCTGCAGCGGGCTGCTCCACCAGTGGCTTGGATCTGTCGCCACACTCTGCCGTACTGGTGGGCTGGAAGTGCAACCTGAAATGCGTGACCAACCATTTTGGCGTGGCACGCTCAGGTCACCACATGGCCCACGGCAAATACACCGTTCTGGGAGCCTGGTACGAGTAACAAGTCCAGAGTCAATCCCATCTATATGCGCCGCGCCAACAGCTGCAAAGCATACGTTTTTTGAACTGACCGGTCACTGATTTGGTGCTGACATGAACGTCAGAACTTAAAGGAGTTCGAGAGTGCTGCCCCACTTCTAGTCCCGTTTAGCAGTGTTATTTATCCCCATTTGTTCACTGTTCACAAATACCGATCTTGTACAGAGCGGACCGCTTTTCCTGTCATGTGAGGCCCAACTCCATGTTTCCAGTTTTTTGTTGGCAGCTGAATTACAAACATTTAGAGGTGCCGTTCAAAAACTTGATGACTTTTCTCAATTGCAAAGTTCTCATGGTCTGTCAAAATTTAAGTTCCTCGCATCCTCCAGAGGTAGCTCCAGGAAGACTTCTTGTGTAGCTGAGAAGCAAGAATCTTTTTTACTGAAGTGCCTCAGTGGCTCCTGTGGATCTTGTGAAAGGATTGAAGGCGAGAGCTGTAACTGACATTTCTTTAGTCCAGCTAATATGCGGTATGGTATCCTATGTATAGGCACAGGGACGCAACCCTACTCTTCTCACCAGGTCTTGAGGGGCCCCGAGTTCAAACGAAAGGACCTCAAAAAACACACAGATAATCTTTTACAAAAAATCTGAAAGGAGCTCACCACTCCTTGAGAAGCTTGCTGATAAACGGTGGTCTATCTCGAAATATGGTGAAGTGCGAAATGAAATGAAGTGCGATCTCAATGACCATCTCGAAATGAAGTGCGCACAAAAATGTCAAACTGGCAAAAGACAGATAGTGAATGCAATATGATTTAGAGGTCCCAATGCAGTTAGGCAGCCTGAGACGCTCAAGGTGTCCCGAGACGGCCAGTGAGAACGGGTATGAACAAGAGAGAACAGAGAACAGAGAACGGGTGGGAACAAAATGCATTTAAAAGGCGATTAACTAGCATCTAAAACGCGGGGCCTTAGCGCTTCAAAGAACCCTAGCAGGACAAGGATTTCCGGTGCTGATGGGAGCCTCCGAAACGGTTAAAGGGACGGGTAATGTCCGAAGAGGCAAAAAGTCAAAGGTCTAGTACTGTCGAAGGTCACAGGAGAGCCAAGCGGGTGGAGGTCAAGGACATTAATATCCACCAGGACGGTTAAAGGATGTTACAATGACGAGATTGTCCTTTGTGCTCGTCAGGCATTTGGAATTGTTTAAGCATCAAAATCATCACGTGTTACAAATGGCTAAAAATCTGCAAAATGTTGAAGGGTCCAAAACTGAAATTCACCCTACACTTGCAGACATCTAAAACCCTTCATAGATGGTCCCTCAAATGGAAATGGTCGAGAGTTGTGAGATGATCGTGGTCTCCGACAAGTGCAGAAAGTCCTAAGACAGGCAAGGGGTTCAAATGTGGCCAAAAATATTTGGTGAATGGGTGAAACCTCTGATTCGGTATGTGGTCAAGGTGCAAAAATGCTGCTTATGCGGTTTATGGCCGAGATAAAAAAGGGCAAACCGACAACCGCTGGACTCCCGTGAATTGGAGCCCAGCGGCGGTCTAATGGTCCGCAGACCGTTAGCAGACCGGAGACAGTTAAGGGGCGCTGTGAATGTTTTTGCAGGCTATTTCTGATAAAATCCAAGGAAAGGCAGAGAAAGTTTTACTTCCAGTCCTGCAGATGGTCAAGTTATCTTAGTCGACCGACATGCTCCGAGACGGCCTGTCCAAAGCCGGTACGGAAACCTTGTAAGATTGGGTACCAGGGACTGCAAAATGCTGGCTGAGATCATAAATGGTTAAGCATGCTTAGGCAGCAGGTTGATTTCTGCCGCAAGTTATATTAGGCTCCGTCATGTAAAATGATGTTATTTCTATCCGCCCGTTTAGCCTTCAGGGTGCTTTTGCCAGCATAAAAATACGCACGGGACGCTGTAACGCAAAATCCAAGAGGAAAACGCGAAAAATCCCTTTACTCCGGCAGAGACAGCTGACAGTCCTGGGGACGGATGCGTCGTGACTTGGCGGCAACGCAGCCCCGTCTCACAGGGGTGGTGTCAGCTGGTAGCGGGGGGTAGAGGGCACTCGTTTCCCCTATTATGTGCCGAGGGCAGCAAGCACATTTGCTTGCCTCCCTTTGAATTTAAGGGATCTTATAATACCGACAGAATGCTCGACGATCCAATCAGTATCGACTGCGAAAAACGCCACCAACGAAAAGGAAGCATTCTCAAGACACACAGGAGACAACACCTTCCCTTGGAGGAGGCCCTAGATGGGCTACATCAGGCCATATTGGTCGATAGAAGGCTTCTAATCCAAGAGAGGGCACATCTGATGTATGCGAGGCACATGAAAAAACGCAGGAGGTCCTGCTGGCCCAAAATGAGCGCCTGGTTGGAAAGATCGGAGGCTCCACCAGGTCAAGAGGGGTGTTGTTTAAGCATATAGATCCAGGCCAGAGCTCCTTTAGAAAAACACGTGAAATCCGACGAACTTTTGGTCAAACTGGGAATGGGTCATAGGGCCCCAGATCTCCTTCGGAGGCCTCTAAATCTCCTTGCCGCCTTGGAAAAAAGGAACCTCCGTCTGCCCGTGCCGAGCTGGATCCCTGGCGCCGAGAGCGGTCACCAGGCCGACAGCTGTCGATCAGCCGCCGCAGCTGCCGCAGCTGCCGACAGCTGTCGGCGGGCCGCCGTCTGCGGCGACGGCTCGGCGCGGCCCGACCCGGCCCCTGGAGAGAGTCGGCCGGCCGGCCGCCGGCGCCGACGCTCCCAAGGCGGCCGTCGAGCCACGCAGCCCGGTTTCCGGGCCAGCAACCAATCGGAGCGGCCGTCTGGGCGCGCGTCGCTACGCCTTATATCACAGCTAATAGGGACAACGGGAGTTGAAAAATCATCGAGCCGCGCCCGGCGTCTCAGTCACATTGTGAGTCCTGGCCGGTTCGGACGCGCAGCAGAGTGAGTGGTGGCGCCGCGGCGCGCCGGCGGCTGTGTGCCAGTGGGACCTACCTCAATCGACCGGGTACTCGGTGCGGGGCATCCCTCGGCACGCGCTGAAGCGCTCTGGACTCAGGTCGGCGGTCGGTGCTGACGCCTGTGTCGACGCAGGCTGACTGTTGGACTCTGGCTCGGTGCCCGGCCCGCTCTCAGTCAGAGAGTTCATGCACCCTCAGAACGTTTACTCGTCTCTGGACTCCGTAGACTTAAGCTGGCTGTTAGCAATGGGCTTGCATCGTGGCCTCTTGGCCACCCTTTGGGCCCATGGACTCAGCGTTGCCCTCTGTAGGGCCTGCGGGTCCCCGGCGGCCTTTGCTCTGCGTTGCCCGCTATCGAGCGAGTGACCCCTTGGCGGAGCACTGCAAGGTGTGCCACTGTTGGGCATGTTCCGTCAGGTTAAACCTGCCTATCTGTTTTCAGGTAAGACCGCACAATGAGGGCGTTCCTCGCGTTAGCCGTGTTGGCCTCGGTTGGCCTCGTGATGGGAGATACTGGTGGTGGCGGCCACAGCTCCGGCGGCCACAGCTCTGGTGGCCACAGCTCTGGCGGCCACAGCTCCGGTGGCCACAGCTCTGGCGGCCACAGCTCTGGCGGGCACAGCTCCGGTGGCCACAGCTCTGGCGGGCACAGCTCTTCAGGAAGCTCCTATGCGGCTCCTGCCGCCTCCTCCAGCTACGCGGCTCCCGCCGCCTCCACAAGCTACGCGGCTCCTTCCAAGGGTGCCGGAGGAGCCGGCAGCACCGGCTACTACTACTACTACTACCCCGTGCAGGAGCACCGGCCCCAGTCGGTGAGATCGCCCTGTCTGACCCCGAATTATCGGAGACGAAAAGAACATCCACAGACGCTGGTCCTAGCAAATAGTGTGGCACCAGTGAAATGCACCGTGTGCAGATGCAATGGCAAATCGTAATGGAGACCTCAGTGCTTCAAAGTGTTCGCTTTTTTGTAAATTTTCCACCGCACTGTTTGTGCTACCTGAGTCCGCGACTGCAAAATTTTATTATATTTAACGCTCAAAGTAGCTACCCGAACGGCACGGATTGGGAAAAGAGGGTCGAAAATGTCCATTTTTTTACATTGAAATTGAAAAATACACGTATAGTTTTATCTGGAAAAACCAAATCTGCACCTTCATTTTGGTATAAAGATACTGATAGATAGGGGCTTCAAAATCAGCCTCTTGAAGCTGTCTTGGCGTCAACCGTTCATTGCACATGTTGGAAGCCATAGCCAAACCTGACGGAGTGTCGAGACTCGGTATTATCACCGCTTTCCGCGCGCATCTTGTTTCCGGGCCGTAGACACGGCATTTCAGTGGCAGAATTCAATATTTTTAGCTCGATTCAGTTTGGATTTCTTTTAAGATTTTTTTCTAAGATCTGTTCTTGGTGGGGATGGTAAAGGCCTGTAAATGATAGTGCGGTGCCTAAAAATGGTACACCTGCATTGGTTTCATATCTATTTTTATTTGAACAAGTGCATCCAGACCAAGCTGAGTCCGCAATCTTTCAACGTTTAAATCTTTTCTCCGTCCTCCGTAATAAAGATCTGTAATGAGACACCCACGCACTGAACGTTTTGAAAACCAAGCGCTGAACGCTGGCGGTGCCTGAACAGTTCACCTTAGTGTCGCGTGCACTTGAGTCAGCACCGCTCTCCGAAACTCAAAGACGTGCTGTGTCCTGCAGAGCGGCGGCGGTGGCGGCCTGGACCTCATCGGGCCGCTGCTGCTGGTCGGTCTGGTGGGCATCGGCCTCCTGGGGCTGCTCGCCGCGGCCGCCTACGCCGCCAACAACAACAACAACAACGGCAATGGCAGGGATCTGCTGCCCACCATCCCGGACGAGCTCTACGACTTCATCCACAGCCAGGAGTTCAACAGGATCGCCACCTTCGCTATCAAGTCCATCGCGAAAAGGTGGTAGCGAGCTAAGCAGGTGGGTCTTGGCTGATGTGCCAGCCTATCGGGGATTGTTACCGTTTGCCGCTTCGGCGGCTTCTCGTGAAAAACCTGTGGCGTGGCGAGCACACCACCCATACCGCATATCGCCGCCTGTGGCGGCATTGCAGTCAGCCACACGGTGCTCCATGGACAGCATGCTCGCGCCGCCTCCCTGGTGACCTCAATGCCCCGCCGCCCGGACTCGAGGCCTCGTTTCCCGTGTCGGCGCGCGGCCATCCGGGGTAAATGACCATCCCTACGCGTCAACACCATCGCTGTGGGGTCCCCCACACCCCGCCTGACCCACTGAGCCGCGGAGAGGGGCGGGCCGCCGCGCGCGGAGGAGCGGCTCTGTCGCTCTGCAGCAGGACTCTTAGGACCAACGCGGAGCGAGTCCAAGCCGAACTGTCATCCGCCGTCCTGTTTCCAGGGAACCATGCATCCGGCATTCTATTTAAGCATGACTGGCGGAAAGAGGAGTTCGGGACCAAGCCCGGTGAAGCAGGGACGGCTTACCAAGAGCAGCCACCTCTGTGCCGACGCCAGACATCCGCGGCGATGCGAGGTCGGGGTCGTGGATTGAGCGGCCTGCGCTGAACAGAGCACGAGGTGGTGACGAGGCCCGTCCGGGCTGCGGTTCGGGCGGCAGCGAGTGCAAGTTTTGTGTGCTGTAGGCCTGCCCCGCGCCGAGGCTGGGTGCAGGCGATGTTGTTGTCCGAGATGCTGTTGTCCGGCGTTCATGTTCGTCCGTCCGCGCCGCGGGCGCCGTCCACTGGCGGCCGGCTTACTTGTACGTCCGTTGTATGCGTTAGGTCACGTTCATTCGTCCGTAAGTCCGTCCGTTAGTAAAAGGTCTACGACGTTCGTGTGGACGTTCGTGTGACCTGTTTGTATGTTTTGTTTGCTTGTCTCTGTGTTTTGTCTATTCGATCAGTGTCCTGTTTATTCAGTTGGTGTTTTTAATTCGTCGTTTGTCCGCGTGCCGGTTTGTTTGTCTAGTGTTTTTCGTTCGTCTCTCCGTTTGCCCGTGACTTTTGTTTGTTGGTCGTTTTCGTCGCACTGTCCTTCCGTTCATCCGTGACATACATGTTTGCGTCTTCATTCGTCGCCGCCCGTTTTGTTTCGTGTTTGTCGTTGTCCCCATGTGCCGCGTGAGTTTGTAATCATCCGCATCCACGCCTCTGAAAGTGTTGATATGTTATTTATTGCTCTTGAATTTATTTTTCCCGCGACAGCGGTTTCTCAACGCACTCAGTTTGCTCACCAAGCCATCACACTCACCGATGCTCTCCATGATAACACCAGCGCTTCATCCCATGGCCATGGCAGTCGTGAACAGTAAACTCCACATGCACCACAAGCCATGCCTGCTTACTTCCCTTTGACCCCGGTGTTTGGGAGTGATGATTTCCATAGACAGGTAGTTCCAATGCCCGTAGAACACTATTACACTGTCAGCACATCACCCTACCAACTGCCTTCATCTGCTGATGTTATGATATTTCTGTATGGCCCTAAGACATATATGTTGAGGGCTCATGGCTCAATGGATGTGATACGTTTGTACTTCTCCGAGCCACTGACATGGTGTTACGATGGTGTCAACTGCTGTCGACGAGCGCTTCAGCAGCTGCCTCGCCAGGGTCGTGATGTACAAAAGAGCCGTTCCGACCTAGTGGACCTGGGAATAATCGTCTGAATATTTGTGCGTGCAAGGCTGTCTCGAGGCTGTCTCGGGGCTGCCTCGGGGCTGCCTCGGGGCGAGGCTGTCTCGCGTTCGCTCGGCCAGCTAATAAATCATATTTGAAAGGAACCAAAGGCTTTGTGGAATGTTACTCCTGCGCTGCACGTGGAAGCTATTACTTTTGGGAAAACACCTGAGAGAACTTCGCTCATGTAACTCGACGACAAGTCCAGCGGATCAGAATTACCATGTTGCGTGCGCTGCTGTTTCCAGCTAATTGCCTATGTGATTAATGGTTTTTTATTAACCATATTCGAAATCAAAGTGATCTGATTACCAAGATTTGTAATATCTCCCGTTCCTTATCAAATCAACGCAGAACCGAAAAACAGCGGGTGTTGGAAGCAGAATCGGCGTCAGATAGAACAATGTATTCGAAAACTGCTCTCAGCCAGAACGGTCCAATAAAAACAAAACAACGCGCAGCAGAGCAAGCGCAGCACGACGCAACAGTTCCCGAAGGCAGTAATGCACCTGTGATCAAAGAAAACAATGGGGGAATGTCAAACATATCAGGTCACAGTGATGCAGGAAACTTGATAATTTGTGATGTTGCTGAAGAAAGGCAAGATGTCGAGGAAAAGAGATCCCAATGAGCTAGGAACACTTGTCAAGCCACGCGGGCGAGTGGCGAAGACAGTGACAACATTCGAAGCTTAAGATACACATGGAATAGCCGACAAAAGCTGTGTTCAGCAGAGGCACCAATGCCTCAGTACGCTGGTGCTATGATGTATAACACCGCAAGTTCAAGGCCAGCCATGACCAAAGTGGCCTGCATTCCCTGCCTCACCCCATCTCCACGCACCCACCCACCTGGTCACTACAAAGGTTACATCGGCTGGCGATCCTTGATTATGCCTGCGAGCCGGGCCCTGTTCCCTCGGCATGATCAGACTACTCGCATGCGGGCGATCCCTGGTTATGCCTGCGAGCCGGGCCCTGTTCCCTCGGCGTGATCAGACCACTCGCATGAGAAACAGGCGGGCGCTGAGTGAGAGCGAGCTCCAGAGAACCCAACGCCGTGAGCGGAGGTGATCTGTCACACTCTTGGTCACACCTCTGATTCAGGTATACTTGAATCAGAGGTGTGACATCTAGCGCCTGAATCAGAGGTGCGACATCTAGCGCCCCTGGCGGCACAATATTGAAATTTGCCAGTCAACCTCCATAAAGGATCTCAGCAACATACAATGCACTACAAACGGGAGGTATGCAACAATCTACTATGCCTTTTTACGCACTACACACTACGCAACTACTTGACAAAACCACCTCGCGACGGCCGTGTCGGCCACTCACGGGCTCACACTCCGCCCTGTTATTTCTTTCAACCAAGTAACGTCATGCTGGCAACTCCATATTTGTGTTGCGGCACTGGAACTAGCGGCCTCCAGATTCACACCACGTCAGGCCCCGGAGTGGACGGCTATTCGGTTGAGGTGTCACATTCCAGCAGATGACATTTCGGGTCTTCGGCATACGCCGCCTTCTCCATGATCTTCATGTTGAGATCTTTGCTAGGATAGAAGAAGTCCATGTATCTGAAAAAGTAAGGATGCGCTTAGATGTACATTATCGGCAGTTATAGGTTAAACCAGGCGGCTGAGATGCATGTGATCGAAGTCTGACGTCATGGTTGTTAATGGCCAGCCAGGCTGCAACATCATCCTAGGTCAGAAAAGGCTTGTTTGTGGAAGCATTTTCTTATTCATATGACGCTTAGCCACGTGCGCAATGCATGTGGACATTCTTGCGCTGTATGACATGTAAGCATATAAACACATGCAAATGGCTCGGGTACTCAGAGCAAAGCCTGCTGTTAACATGATCTTATTTTGTTTCGAAAAGTCACAGACATGCCGCTTTCATCTCCGATGCTTGGTGCTGAAGTTCCTCTGTGAGTTAGCTTCACCGCTAATCACTACTTTTGCATCAGATTTCGCTTTCGTCGCGCCGAAAATCGAATGTCTCAATCATATCGAAAGTCAATATGCTTGCAATAACATCGGCATTTGGCCCGTGATGGCTCAAGCAGCTGCAAAAACCTCACAAATCCATCACATATCGTCCCGAACTCCCGGGGCCGCAGGGCGGGGATCTGCCCCGCAGCCGGCCGCGGCGGAGGGCGGCGGGCGCGAGCTCAGGGTCCGCCGAGACCGGCTGTGCCAGATCCGTGCGCACTGTTTCGGCACATTCCGGTCCGCTGGGCAATGTAATACCAGCAGCTCGCCTATTCGGGCCACCAGCTCGAACAGGACCGTGAAGACCCTCGGACACGCATCAGCTGAGCATAACGTGCATTAAACCTGGAAGAAAGTTAGCTTAAAGCGCACAGGAGGCCGTCAAATTGAGTTAGAAGCGAAATAGAAAGTAAGTTGATTGAAAGTTGAGTTATGAGTTGAGTTGAGTAAGGGTAGGGCACGGTTCATTTCACACCAACAGGCGTGAGTTTGGCTGAAGGATAAGTAGTCCTTAGATTACCACCACTAGAAGAGGTTGGCTGTTCTAAACTAAGTGACCCTTTGCATAATCTGGGAGACAGTGATGAAACAGCACTGGATCTAATGGAAAGTTGGAAGCCTTATCACTTCGGCGCCGACCAATCAGATAATGTCTTACGAGGCCGCCTTTTGTGTTAACCAGGCTAGCAGAATCGTTCGAAACGAAATCGCTAGCCCAATTGCGCCCATTCCGGTCTATCAGTGTCAATTTCGTCCTCAAAAGAGCAAGATAAGATTGCTAAGTCCGTCCCATTATCTGTGATGTGCTCAGAAAGCAGACCTAAAGACCCGCCTTGCATGAGAGCTGTTTATCCAACTAGAAGACCGGTCACCTGACCTGAAGATCATTCACCTGACTTGATGGTCGCTCGCCTGACCTGATGATCAATCACCTGACCTAATGTTCGCTCACCTGACATGATGATCGCTCACCTGGCCTGGGACCGCCTCAACCAGAGGATTGTTCACCTAACCCAGGGGTCGGCCACGTGGTCTTCGGGAAGCTTAACCGGTCCGGTGACCGCCCAAGTGATCTGGGGGCTGTTTACTTAGCCTACAGCTGTGGTGCGATCATCCAGCCTGGGCCCTGCTCCCTCTAACATGGGACCAATCACCTGAACTGGAGGCCGCTCACCTGACCAGAGCACCGTTCACCTGATGTAAGAACCACTCCCCTGACCTGAGGACTGCTCACCTGACCCGATAACAGGTCACCTGACATAAGAACCACTCCCCTGACCTGAGGACCGCTCACCTGACCCGATAACAGGTCACCTGATATGAGAACCACTCACCTGACCTGAGGACCGCCCACCTGACCTGATAACAGTTCACCTGACCTGAGAACTGATCATCTGACCTGAAGGTCGCTCACCTGGCGTGATAACATCTCACCTGACCTTAGAACCGCTCATTTGACCTGATAGCCGCTCACCTGATGATGCGCGCCGGGTCGGGAGAGTCGGCGATCACCTCCCCCAGCTGGCAGAAGAGCCGACTGGTGCACAGGTCGTCCTCGTCCAACGATGCGTAGATGACCTGCAGCCGCTCCACCAGGTCCCGGGTGCGGTCGGTTGACTCGTCCTCTGAAATCCGCCGATGCTCAGGCCTTGCTGGTACTGGACGGGAAGGGGAAACGGGCTGGGAGTCGCGGAGTCGAGACTAAATAAACAGCGTCTTTTTCACGATTCTAGGCCAAATTTCAAAGCATCGGTCCTGTATATCAAACCTCTCTTGGGCATGACGCGGAGCATGTCGCGCTGATGGCCATTCTTGACGTTGTGAAATGTGTAGTCTGGAACGTTTAATTGACTGCAGAAGCCAAAAAGCACACATCTATTTAACATCCATGTGAGCTGCACATGAATGCCCGAATCATGTGCGGATCCGTATGGAATGTCAATATTTGTGTTTGAAAAAACCCTCAGCATTGACTCATGAGGCACACGAGTTGGCTAAAAGAAGCACAACACAACTGACAGCATGCCTCGCCAGGTGGTTAGCAGTTTTTATGATGAGTGAGCCTTGACAATAGTGACAAAAGGAGTTCTTGCCCGTCTCCCGACGTAAAAAGAATGCCAAGTGGCGATGACCAGACGCATGGTGTTCACCAGTTAAGCACTATTATTGTCAGGGCCGTCGTCAGACAAGCAAAAACCATGGCATCATCAAGTTCATAAAGAGCAAAACCCCACCAGAGCGTCCTGCAAATGGGATGCGTTCTGCATAGAAGCACTCGTGAATCACAGCTAGGAGAGCCCATGTGCATGGAGAATGCAAAGCCCGACGTGCACGAAGTAAGGCAACCGGACGTCCTCATGCGTACTCTCCGTTTCCACACTGCCATGGCTTTCGGCACTGTCAGAAAAAAAATGCCGGTGGCACCGTGCAGGGAGTAGGGCATAAATCCAAGCGAGGATCCGTGCGAGGCGTCGGGCGGGGAGCCATGGGTAATCAGGTGTAACATGCAGGGGCTGCCCGGGGAGCCGGGTGAGCTGCCTTGTGGGGAGCCGGCGGGGTGCCGAGTGCGCTGCCTCGCGGGGAGCCAGGTGAGCGGTCTCGCGCGGAGCCGGATGGGAGCCGGTGAGGAGCCGGTGGGAGCCGGTGGGAGCCGGTTGGAGCCGGGTGGGTATCAGTGATCCGTACCTGGTGCGGCCAGATCGCGTCGCCGCCGGCTGCTCGTGCTGGTGATGTTCTTCACAGACGGGAACAGGAAGAGCAGGCCCGTGGCCAGCAGCACGGGCGCCATCACGCCGCCGTACTTCCCCAGGTTGCCGAGTCCGCTGAAGAGGCCGCCGCCCGACCCGCCGTACGTCTGCGCCGCCGGGTACGACGACTCGGCGTGCGGCTCCGAGTACGGCTCCGGCGTGGCGTAGTTCACGTATCCGTCGCGGTTGGGGCCGGCCGGCGTGGCCGGCGGGGCGGTCACTGCAGGGTGCGGGGCGAAGCTGGGTACGATAGTGCGCGGCGGCGGCGGCGAGCCGCTGGGGCCGCGCGAAGCCACTGGAGCTCGAGTGGCTGGGGCTGTGAGGCTTGTCGAAGGAGGAGTGGCTGTTGGTGTGGAAGCCGTGGGTGTTGATTTGGTTGGAAGCGTGGGGCCTGTATAGCTGTTGTTGTGAGGTTTCACGGTGCTCATCGTAGACCTGGTAGCTGTTGGTGTGCGGCTCGTCGTAGGTTTCGTGGTCGCGACTGTACTCCTCGTGCGCCAGGTGGCCGCCGCTGTGACGCTGGTTGAACCGCTGAGGAGCGGCCGTCGGCGGCCGGGCGTGGAAGAGGCCCTGGCGGTCCTTCAGCAGGTACTGCAGCGAACCCGGGTCCCGGACGGTCGGCAGAGCCGGGCCCGCGCCCTGGGCTACGGCCAGACCCACACCCAGCAGCAGAACGGACAGCTGAGCCATTCCTGGAGGGACAGAGCTAGGCGTCATAACTCTACGACACGTGTGCCAAGTGCGGCGCGCTGACCTCAGTTGCGTCCCCTGGTACCCACAGCTGTCCACAAGCTGCAATCTGTGTCGTTCGAGGTGCGTGCGTCCACAGCAGTTTCTACGGCCTGGAAGAACTCGCTTGGGTATGACGCAGGCACTTATGACGTCATGCGTGATAAATCAGGTAGGACACTTTGCCGATGGGGAACGTGGCCTTGACATGCTTTGCGGCGGGGTTAGAGGTCAGAGCCACGGGCTCACGATCGCTCCAGCATCAGTAAATCCAGTGGAAACAACTTCAGACGACAACGTTTGGATAAGAAGCGTTTAATTCCCATCAATGTTTTTTTTTTGTTGCTCATTTAATCGGATAATTTTGTAGCAGCCAACAGTGGAAATGGTGAGCAAACGTAATCGCTTTACTGAATTGAAGTACAAACCCAGAGCATTTGCAATAGGATTTGTTGGAAAAATGTAGCTCATGTGTATTGTACTCATACTAAGGCTATGGAAATCTCAGGACCTAGATATCCATCTCTGATCTTTGTTCCAAAACGGGAAGACGCTTAGCGTCATGAATTGAGCGCGGCGAGAAGCCTGTATCATTGCAAATTATGTATACATCGGACCATCCGAGAAGAGGATCCAAGTGCTCACATTATGTTTTTCCAATGCCTAGTTAGTACAACATGGCGTAGATTATGCGCAGTCTATATTCTTGCTCCACTGTAATCAGGCCCAGGTGCATTCAGTGCAATGCAGGTGGAACAGGACTTTTTTCTAGAACTTCTTAACTCACACGAATCGAATCGAATCCGGTACATTTATGGAGGCAATGAGAGCGAGAAGACTTTGAAACGGCATTTTCACAGCTAGGGCCTCTTGAAAAAATAATGGAAGAAAGAATGCTTCTGCAGCTAGTGATTTTTGAATGTTATGTGAAAAAATTTTAGTTGTGAATTGGAAGCTTTTTAGACTTAACGCATCGCCTGTAGATCCCAGCCCAGATATACCGGAGTCAACGACTGCAGTTACCGCTATCCGAAGCAGTGGTGGGATGAGCGTGGAGCGTTGGTTGCTTTGGAATCTGACTACTTGCTGGGTTGTGCAAGATCATAATGCTCGAATTCATGGAAGAGCTGATGCGTAGGTATGACAGCAATGTGGCATTGTTCCATCCATGTGAATGCTCTATTCTTTCGGAACCACCTGGCTTTCAGGAGATATCCAGAGGCGGGACACGACAAGAGTATCTCAATGTTAACATGCCAAGAATGTGATATCCAATTCCAATCAAATATTGCAGCAAAGTATGAGCGTTTGTCATGCTGCATCAGTGGTACAAATACTGCGCTAGCGGTGGGCATGCATGAGAAAGTTCCCGAAAATATGTTCCTTTCACACAAGGCCTAGCCATAGCTCACAAAACAGTTTACTTTTGCTGCAATTAAAGGCGATTGGAAGCTTTTCAGAGTTGGAGGAGAGGGGTGGTGGGAGGGGAGCTAATTTGCAGCCATTTCTTTCCACGCAATGTCATATAGCCAATGACAGATTTTTCCAAAACTGTGTGGAGCTGCGGACCTCCTCTTCCCTTCCCCATCCCTCACCCCCAGTCCGCCGCCCCTGGATGCGTTGCGTTAGGCGCGCCTCGGCCACCAGCCCCGCGCCGCGCAGCCAGCATGAGGCGGCACTTCCTTTACATTGGCCCACGGCAGCAGCCATGAATACGCGCCAAGTCACAATGCCCCCGGGTTACAAACCGCCAAGAGGGTCAGAGCTGTGACGAGTCACGAGCGCTCTATTCAGAACTCGGAGCGCTAGTTTCACTCGCGAAACATGGTTTTCTTGGAGAAACGGGACTGACTGAACGCAGGAAAGGGCTGCCAAAGACGGAGGCGCGGAGACGCAAGGCGGGCGATGATTACAGAAGAGGTCTGTAGTCTGTGCTTGGAAGTCTGAGCCCTCCCCATCCTGGGCAACTCACCTGAGACGTTCGTCCAGCAGGCTCCACACGAACACACTAAAGCCCAAAAACGAAAACCCGAATTATTGTCCTGTTTGAAAGTAAACAAATCGGTAGTGAAAGGAGCAGCGCTGGGTCGCCGAGCCGTGGCCTCCGGGTGAAAGCCCCCGCCTCTGGCCATCCTCTGCCGGCCCTGCCCTCGAACAATGGCGCCGATTGCGTCCTCCGGCAGACATGGTCCTGCACACGAACAGGTCCGGGTGCTTGCGTCATAGGGAAGAGACGGCAGCTCAGCCATGCTGCGACCGTGGAGAGGGCTAGGTCAAATTTGCCCAAAGCTGGCAGTTTGAGCTACCAGGGCCGAGCTTTTCACAAGCGCGCGCAGTTTTATTCACCAACCTAAGGCAAATCTGAAATCTAGGAGGCATCCTGTTCCGCGTGTAATAGCGATGAAAATGTGTTGTACTGAAAGGAAGGTCGGTCTTTGGGATCCCGGCCATGGCACCCATGTTACATGCTGGGAGCAGTGAGTGAGATAGCCGTTCATGTGCCAGGCTGGAACTCCGGACTCACAACTCAGACTCATGAGCGCACAAAAACCAAACACATACATTGCTGGCATTGGTTGTAATCGCATCGGCCTTAAAAAAGTTGAATGGATGCAGATAAAGACCCTCGAAGAAATTACTGCAGATGTTTGGATGTCAGTAGATGCCGATGATTTGTTAATTGTGTTTCATTCTACGAGATTTAATGCAAAATCCACACGAACATCTCCGAGCAAGTTGAAGAAAACAAACACTCTAAAGCCCAGTGGACGGCATTGTATTGACCTCATTCACTTGTGGAAGGCTTGCTCACAAATAGGCAGCGACTATGCATTCATTTCGCAGTCGGCGATTTGGTTGCGGTGTAAGGGCATCAAGTACTGCTGCAAGAGGTGGCGGCGTGAGCAGAACAGATCTGAGCAGACCCTCGCCAGACCCGGACAAGATCAGTGGCCCAAACCAGAACTGGAACTGGACCACAGGACAAACAGTTATGGGCCTTGGATTGCACAGACAATGAGACACTGAAACTGCTCTGACGAAGAAAACATGATCTTCTCTGATGGAAAGCCTCTGTCATAAATCAATGACCCATTAAGAAAACTGCAGCGTTGAGAGAGCCATAAATATAAATATGGTCATGAGCACCATTTTTAACATAGTTAAAATACGGTACACAGACAATATGATATCCACAAGCACAACACGTTCCTCTCACTCCAAGCATGCAAGTAAGGAGTATAGAAAGGGACAACGTGTTGATGATTATCCCGAGTCGGGAAACGCGTCGGCGATCCGTGATGACGTTATTGGAAATATCATGATGAGCTGATGACGGGAGGCGAAGACACTGACAGAACACATGTACTGGACATATGGCATGACAAAACACAATCAATCGCGGTACACGGACTTAGGATGACGCGACAGCGATACGCATTCAGAGCGAAGGTGCTCCTGAGGCGTACAACAAATGCTACAAAAACATCAAAGCCACAGCACAGGCACATACAGGTACATGTATTTCGCGAACGCAGACAATGGACAAAAGAACTAATAGCTTATCTTGAGCATTGGCAGCTTTTGCCCACATGCACATATGCATTTCAGCGGATTGTAGTTCCACCGACATGAGCGTGCAAACAACATCTTTACATCGGCAGACGGTTGTCTTGTAGAGCGTGAGACGCATCAGTAAGCTGTAAAGGCTCGAAATGGGACTATTACAGTAATGCACGCTGTAGTGGGGACATACCGATCACAACATGACTCAAGACTTTCCGGAAAAGTGGCAAGCCTTCAACGAAAACTGGCACGTTTCAATCAAGGCGAGTGATTGGTTGAGGTAGGCCCTCTTGTGCGAATTGGTCGGTGCAGAGGAAATCTGTACATATAGGGCCGCACGAACCAACAACCTGTAATATGCCTCGTGACCGTCAGCCGAGAGTTCGGCTGACCTGTTCCACACACGCTTATCTGCTCACACCGCTTCAGGGGTATTACACCTGAACAGCTTCCTGCACTGCCTCTTGTCGTAGACGCCCGTTGACGCCTTCTTCAGTATTGACACGTTTTTCTGAAGAAGTTCGGGAGTGTAGCGCTCAGCAAGGCTGTGAAGGAAAGAGACTGGTTAGCTGATGCACTCGGAACACCCAATGAAGTGCCATTGCATTGTGCGACTGGTTTAGCGGAACGAGCCAGGATCATCAAATAAAAAGGTGTTTTTTTGTGATGGGTGGTGTGGATAAAACTGCTCTTTTTCGCAACGAAGTCAAAACAAAGCAAAGCACTTCGAAACATTAAGATTATGTCTTCCTGGGCTTCCACACGATGTAGGACAGATTTATTCGCTTCATCACCGGCAAATGGCCTGCGTTTGCCTTTATGACTTGCTCTGAGAATAAGGAGGACCATAACTGCAACCACCGGGCGCATAATCGTGCCTTCCAATACGGATAATTAATCAAATTTACTGCGGTGATCGCATCTGCCGTCATAGGAGGCACACGAGGACCGCTGTCTCATTTCCATTCCCGTTAGTTTGACCAGTTGACTGTGTGTTTGTTTGCGGCCGCGCGACCCACATCTGCTGTCGGCGCATGCGCACTAGCGCCGACCCGTTCTGCTTTGAGGCGATCCACCAGTCACGGGAGTCAAATGCCCGCTGGCGATCTAAGTGCCCTCATTAGGGCCGTGGATCGGATGTTGGAAAGGTGTTCCCATCTAGCTTGTAGACGTTCTGATCATCGCTGAGATCCTCAAGGATAAGTGGATCGTGGCTAGGAAGGCAGGATAATCCGCTGATAAACACGACAACGGATTATTGGGAACAGATCGATGTGACAACGACTTGTCGCTGAGACTTTTCACGTTTCTGAGGACATTTCTCGGGTGCCATTACCGATGCTCCGCAGCACAGTTACACCCAATGGGCCAGACAAAACCCTGCAGTTGCGGTACAGGACATCCTGAAAACCTGCCGCACACACGCATTTGATATGTGATTTACCTAATGCCACACTATCCCACCACACATCGACGAAAGCATTTTAGGACATTGAACTAGCGTTTTTTTTAGGTCCGAGCTACCGCAATTGCTAAGCATGAAAGGTAACTGGTGAGGAATTAATCCATGTCGTATGCACGGACGCCAATCAGGATGGTAGTGCGCAGACGTGGGGCATACCCTCTGAATCAATCGGCTCATGTTTGAACCCGAAGGCCCTGGTGCTTGTTAGAAAACAGTCGAATGCGCAAGACAAAAAGGCAACAACGGAGATCCCTGAAATTTCGAAGACATGATTCTTGAGAGGCACTTCAGTTGGGGAGAATTATGCGATATTCTGGAATAATGCGAAACCCTCAGATTTGGGAAGTTTTGCGGAATAGGCGAGGAGTCCCTGGAAGGTTTGCATCATCTCTCTGGGCGTCAGATGGGTCCAATGGGTACTATCAAGTATTTAATGAAGCATCATTGCAGTAGCGAAAGAGTGTGCCCAGGATTAGGGTGAGCCTCAGAACAACTTTCAGTCGCTTCGTCCCATGCACAGCCATAGGCTTAATTCTAATTTATCCAAGTTTAGGGGATTTCGACAATACCCGCACCCTTACCTTCGCCCCCCCCCCCCCCTTCCCTCTCATAACGTAATAGTTTCCGGGCCTATACGATGTTAACGCTTTGGGATGTCATCGGCTATAGCATTCGCCTTTCGATTCGACCTCGCCAGTGTGGACGGCCACGCACACGGTCTCCTCAGTGCTGGGAGGAGGCAGACATGAGTGCGGAGCGGAGGGGACGAATTCGGCCGAGACCAGACTGTTAGACTAACTGTCCGTCGGACCGGATAAGCAAAAAGGCCGGCGAATGTGGCTGGGCGCCAGGTGGTCTGCGGTCGGCCGGGCCCGCGAGCACCGATCGACGATCCAGCCGTGCTTCGACGCGATCAGAGCCGGCTCGGTCACCGCGCTGCGGCCGGTGAACACATGCCGCTTTTGGCGCACGCCGAGGCGACGGCGGAGCGGCCGCGTGGCCGTGAGAGGGCGTCTGGCGTGCGGCCGGCGGCACGAACACGACGCTGTCGCGGAACTTTTGTCTTAGATCACTTGCAATCCCGCTGATAATGGCGGCTAATGGGTGATTGTGCCGCCGCCGTTCCGTAGCGGCAGAAGTGTCTGCAGTTATGCCTGATTATACTGGATTATGCATTTAGGATAACTTTCTGGGAGTGAATAAAAGGAGTCGCTGCATTGGATTCAACCGGCGAGTACCTAATCACGTTGGTTGATTGCAGCATTGTCGAACAATGCCTTGCGCTATTGACATCCTCCTAAAAGATGAATCCCCTTGATAAGATGTGTATGAAAAGGACTTTTCTAGAAATTTAGCCTGTCGTCCAATGCATAATTTGATGTTTGATTACGTGTAAAACGCCAACGCGTCCGTCATACCAGCCCCGTGCCACAATGCTAAGGGAGGGAACAGCAAAATAGTCAGAACTTCGGAAGAGTAGCGTGTCACAGAAGACGGCCGTGCCACAGCAGACGGCCGTGCCACGGCAGACGGCCGTGCCACAGCGGACAGCTGCGCCACAGCATACGGCCCTGCCACAGCAGACGGCCGCCGCCACAGCAGACGGCCGCGCCACAGCAGACGGCCGCGCAACAGCAGACGGCCGCGCAACAGCAGACGGCCGCGCAACAGCAGACGGCCGTGCCACAGCAGACGGCCGTGCCACAGCAGACGGCCGTGCCACAGCAGACGGCCGCGCCGCACAGAAGCTCACCTCATGAGGAGCTCCTTGCCGGCGAACTGGTATGGCTTGGCGTGTAGGCCGAGCTCGCAGAAGACGCGCGGCACGCAGTCCTCCGCCTCCAGCATGTCGATGTGCTGGAGGAGCAGCCGCTGGAGGTGGGCTTGCCAGTCGGCCAGCATTTCACCGCTATCGCCGTCAGCCGAGCGACCGCTGCCGCTGCTCACCAGTGAGGCGATGGCGGCCAGCAGCAGCAGCGCCCCACCCAGCACCAGGATCGGCAGCAGCACGGCGCTGAGCAGGCCCAGCACTCCACCGCCTTTGCCACCGCCGCCGCCGCCGTGCTGGCGCACCGGGTACTTGTGCTCCTGCACGGGGTAGTAGTAGTAGTAGAGGTTGCCGGTGGAGCTGCTGCCGGCGTCGTAGCCCTGGCTGGGGGCGTTGTAGCTGGTGGTGGGGGCGCTGTAGCTCTGTGAGCCGCCGCTGTGTCCTCCGCCGCTGTGGCCCAGGGCGCCGCCGGAGCTGTAGGAGCCGCCGGAGCTGTGGGATGAGCTGAAGCCGAAGCTGGAGCTGGCGCCGTGTCCGTGGCCGCCGCCGCCGTCTCGGGGCTGAGCTGGGGGCACCGCCACGGCGGCCGTCTTCGGCAGCTCGGCCGCCTGCGCCGAGGCCAGGCCCAGCACACAGAGGCTCAGAAGTGTCCGCGTCATCCTGAAACACACCAGCGACGGTGATATTTGAACATACATGCCACTGGGTTCATGAAGGGCTGGTAACGCAGGAAGCTGTGAGGTTACAACGCATCAACAAAACGTTTGCATTTCAATCCATACCGCAGCCATTCTTCAACAATTTTAAGTGCACGCCCATAAAGTATGGAAAACAGCTGAGAACAGCTGATAACTTGCTCGTTAGAACCGGGTGAAATACTGGGGGTTGCAGGATGGCACCATGTCTATAATAAAGACAAGCACAAGCATTATGCATCTAAGCATAATCATATTTAACAGCATAAGGCACACGGAATGGCCCAGACCATATCGATTTGGTGCTCATTAGCCACGTCATCGATACGTTAACGCCGTGATTGGCTTCATAACTTGCACTTTTGCATGCGCATAATTTAAAATGTTAAATAGGCGAAAAGGGCTGGGGCTTATTTGATTTGATCGTGCATCATGCGACTCGTGGAATAAATGAACGCATGCAATAATGAAGTGCAATATACTATCACAATAATAACGCGAATAACGCAACAATTAAACGCAAATATGCCCGCGACTTCCTCGCAATATGCTAAAACTAATCTAAAGCTAAATTCAAACGGGAGCAAGCCTTCACGATCTATGTGCGCAGTCTGTTTGACCATTCCGTCTGTTTTCCTCAATTGAGGGATCATTATGCCAGTAATTGGTCTCATTATAACCATAATTCTGTGACAAATCACCGCTCAGTCGATCAGCCGAGCCGCTAACTCGCCGATCTCCGGCGTCGCGCCGCAGCCACCCGACATCAGCCCTCCGCCGTCGGCCGGCGCTCCGGCCCCTGCTGACCCCGCAGCACGGGGGTGTCCTGCGGGCGGGGTCCGCGGCGTCCACCGCACTCCACGCCGAGCGGCACCGTGACGTCCGTCGTGTCACGCCGTCGGCCGGCCTCAGCGTCCGTCGTTCATGCACCTGTCGCCGGCTCGGGCCGAGCGCGGGCTGAGGCAGCGGCCGGTGGGCGGCAGCGCAGCTGACGGGCGCGACGACGCGGCGACGCGCGCAGCGGGCGCGCGGTGGCAGCGATCGACACCGATGATGCCGGCCACGCCGAACACGACGAGCCGGGACTCACCTAGGCTAACAGTGCCGGCTGTGCTGCACGGTCCAGTGTGCGGACCGCTGCAATGGTGCAGACTTTATACGGCCATTTATTCAGAGGCGGGGTGCGGGTTCGTCTTGCAGTCACGTGACCGGCTGATAACACGACCGGCCGTGCAAGGGGCGGAGTTAGCCGCGCGTCATCAAGCCCGCAAGCCAATGCAAGCGCCGGACACCGAGCGAAACGCCGGCGCCGGCAGGGGCGCGGGGTTTTTGCACACTGCCGTGGCGCCCACACCTCGAGCCGTAACGGTATCTCCAGCGAGTCCGTATGCGCTCATATGCACGCGGCCACGCGTCATGTGCAGAGGTCACTCGGTACTGACGGGTCACGACCCGCTGCCGCCGGCCGAGGCGCGCTGATGCCTGCGCCCGATGACGCCCTCGAGAGGAGCCCTCACCGGATGGGCTCCCCCAAGTGTTCGGGGTCGCATTCCAACCAATGCTCTTCCACTGCAGGCTGGAGCGCCGCGACCTCTCTGAGAACGGCGCAGTGGTGAGGCCCCAGCGGTGGCGCCTGTCGGCCGCGGCAGCCGCCTGGCCGCCGCCTCGCCGCCGCCGGCCGCTCGGCGGTCCCGGTCCCGCCCGGACTGCGTATGACCCAGCGCCGCTCCGTTAGGTCCCCGGCCAGCCCGGGCCGGGCCTCTCCAGGTCAAGCTAGGCAATGTCGTTTATCACAGCCGCTGCCGCTAGCCGAACGGGCTTGGCGCGTTGTGATTAATGCCCGCCCGTGTCGGAGGCGCCCTGTGCAAGCCTGCTTTGGCGCGCGAACACGGTGGCGGCCGTCGATGAGGCGAGGGCGCGGCAGGGGACACGGCTGCTGATCGCCCCTTTGTGATGGAGGTCTCGCCTAACGGGTGGATGTCAGCCTTCCTTGTCGATTAACTGACAGATGTGCGGCGCGGGCTGTTTTGATCACATTGCTGTGACGAAAAGCCCTGCGGGTTACCGGTGAATGGCATGCTTAGTGTACTCATCCCTCACACGTAATGCGCGTGCTTGGTCCGTGATAACACTCACGCTTGTCGCTAAGCACCTCATTTACTTTTAAGTTGAATGCTAATTGAGCATTACTCGTTATGAGCACTAGCATACCTGCCTGGCAGGCAGCGCGCGGTTGGTGGGTCTAATGCCGCTTGGCCATTGAGCTTCTTGTTCCCGCCTTACCTCTAATGGCGGCACCTGGCGGCACAAAACAACTTGCTTTTTCACCGCTCGACACGTGAAAAGAGAAAGACTTGCCATTTGCTGCAAAATCTTTCCGAGTGCATGTGGGGTCCGGACGAATAATCAAGGCACTGGTGATGACTGACCGAAACAGGTCCTTGCCAGATGGCGTTCGAAACTAGCGACTGGCATCTGTTAGCACGCTTTAAGGTCTTGGACATGGAGGCAGCAATTTATGTCGATGGAACGGCAACTGTTTATGGTTAATGAATAACGAAATAATGCTATATTTGCATCTCGTAAAGCCGAGTTCGCGCGCACCGGTGGAATGTTCTTGGTCAGTGATCTGCGGTTTCCCATGGCATGCTCCCAATGCCATCGTCGCCACAATCAACGTATTACAGGTATCATGTGAAAGCATGTTAAAACCTCGCCCCGTTCTCCTATAACTGCACAGCACAGGCGCTGTTCCCGCATAACCGCACAGCAAGGATCCCGTTTGCGCATTACCGCACAGCAGTGATGCCGCTCGCGCGTTACCGCACGGCACCGGCCGCTCGGAGAGTTTCCACGCACCAGCCGTATCCACGTAATGATAAAGGCATGACACCGAAGTGAAGTATGGGAAGTTTGTTAGAAGGTCACGTGACAAGTTTGTGAGAAGGACCGTGCGCTTCTGTCCTGGACGAGACGTAAAAGCACCGTTGTCAAAATGCCTTCCGAAAGCTCGCCGGATACTTATGACACCCGATGCAGTCTCCGCCCGGTGGCGCCGGTACTGTCGGATGGAGAGTAGCAGTGTATGAATGAGGTGCCCGTCTCTCGTCTCGTCCAGTCCCGTCCGACAGCATCAAGCTCTGTCCAGTCCCTTCTAATCTCGTCTTGTTCAGTCCGGTTGTGTTCGGTTCCGTCCGGTTCCGTCTGGTCCCGTCTGGTGTCGTTCTGTCCCGTCCGGCTCCTTTCCACCACGTCCGGGGACATCCGATGCTGTCTGGCGCATGGTCCCGTGGCCGTCCGGGTCGGTCCGGCCCCGTCATTTCTGGTTCAGTCTGGTCTCGTTCGGCCCGCTCTGCTCGCTCCCGCCCCGATCCGTCCCATCCCACCATAATCCAGCTCCATCCAGTTCGATCTGCCTCCCCCCGTGGTCACAGCTTTATACACATCTCATACCTCGCGTCAGATCCTGATGACTTTCCTGTTTTAAACCATTTTGACTATTAGTGTTTATACATATCCGAGTTGAACTTTATCTTTGTCGATTTTCAGTCTATCAACTCACTCTGTCTCTATCTTCAGCGCCTATAGACTTTTTGTTTTTTTCAAAATTTTATATTCGGCTTTTATTCCTCATGACTTCATCCGTCCCAAATTTTTTGTCACTTGATTTTTCGCTTCATTTTTTCCTGTACCTTTTTCCACTTATCCAACTTCTTGTCCAGGAACCATTGCACTTTCACAGGAACCCGTTGAAAGGAGCCTTGGTTCACCTGACCATTTCAACAGGCTGGCGTTTCACGTCAGCTGTCGTGCCGTTAAAGGGAATGTTTCACATCTGAAGATACTGAGACAAGCATCCGATCTGATAAATTAAACTCACCTACAGCTATCGGTATCCTTTTGAGTGCAAAACACTGCTTTAGACACCACAACATTACTCATTATTATATCTGCTCCTTAATGCGTTGTCATTTCATTGAGCCATGGAACGGCTTTATGCCCCCATAGTCGCGAACAGACTTGCCGTGTTAGAAAAAAGCAAAACATGCCACGAAATTACTCTGAGTCAGAACTATGTTGGGTTACCACGTTGCATATGCCTTCAGCGGCCTGTTTGAGCAATGCAGTGCGATCCGCTTACTTGGCGAATTGTATTGGCAAATTATATGTGTCATTCCCCTGCAAAATTTCTGTCTTATTCCCGCATTACTGCGTGTCGTCATACCGTGGTGAAATGACGGTGGTCGTTTGGTGCGACCAAGTTTCGGTTTGAATGAACGCATAACGCCGTACTGAATGGTGCACCCCTGATCGTCGATATTCAGTGTAATGTCGCCTGGAACACGGCCACCCACTTTTTTGTGCCGTCCCACATCTGT